ATGTGAATTACATGTGATTCATATGTGAATTACATGTGATTTACATGTGAATCACATGTAATTCATATGTAATTAATTTGTGATTTACATGTGATTCATATGTGAATTACATATGATTTACATGTGAATCACATGTAATTCATATGTGATTTACATGTGAATTACATGTGATTCATATGTGAATCACATGTAATTCATTTGTGATTAACTTGTGATTTACATGTGAATCACTACACACTTATAGTTGCTTCCTTTAAAAGCTCCAACGACTAAAAAAAGTCAAAGTAATGATTATAGTTTTGACCACAAAAGCATCACTAAAACAACAACAATCCAAAAACATATTCAAATTTCAAGATAAATATATATTATTTTTGCACCTGCTGATTTTTTTATGGAATGCAACATTGCTACCTTGTAGATGTTTCTTTGTGCAACAACTAGCTTTGATAGTGGTCTTCTAGGCCACCCAACCTTCTAAATAATAATAATAATACATAAATACATAATCTAATAATATGACATATTGAGATGGTAAATAAACAATACATGTATGCAAAAATCAATAACGATAAACAATTTTAAAATAAATAAAAAATAAACTAAATAGTTTCATAATTCATACCACATATCATTAGGCCATAGAAGCTCCTCTTTTAAGAATGCATCCAGACAAGAAAACCAGTCTTGTTTAGTGTTTTTTTAACAATGACACATATCTTATGCACCAAAGGACAATCCTTGAGGTAATTTGCATTGTATAAATCATGTTTATTTTCAGTCCAATCAAGCAAAACTTTAACCATTTTGTTAGGTTTTATGACTGTATCGTTTAACAAGGGTCTGCAACTCATACCCCTTTAATCTGTTATGCATAAAAAGAAGGATAAATCCCCATTAGACGTTTCATTTGTTATGAATAAAATGAACTCTTCATCTTTGCCTGTATGCAATGAATTACTATTCTACAATAATCGGATGAGAATACATCAGTGGTGTTTTACATCGTATAGAAGTAATCAAAGTAAAAAAGTGGAAACAGTGAGAGGGATTACCATTGTAATTGGATGAAGCATACTATAATCATTAACATATAGAAAGCATATACAATTTATAAAGAGACGAAGCATCTAAATATATTAAATTAAAGTAAATCACATCGTATGGAATTTTACACGGGAATATGCTTCGATAGAGATCAGTTACAAAATAAAATGAAAAATCAGAACTTGTATTGTGCGAATATCGGTACTTTGGAACGAATTCCATTGTCAGTCACTAGAGTTCATTTTGTTAATCTCCTCTTACAGATCTGATCAGAAACAAAGTCGGTCAATGGAGACGGAACGAATGCGATGAGGAAGGCGATCAACTGATGAGGTGATGAGTGTCGGAGGGGACCATGGATTCTAAACAATGGTTAGTTCAGAGATGCACATCAGGCATTTCGTTTCAGTGATCTGCACATTTTTTTGATTCAATTTGGATCTGGAAAGGCACCTTTATTACCTTATTGATTTATTTAATGGCGGATCATGTAACCAGATGATTTTGGGGTTATGATTTTGTGTATGAACAAAACTAAGATCAATGTGGTAAAGACGATGGTGATTTAAGGGGAGATCGGCGGACTCGATGATTGAATCCGATGGTGATTGAGGTCGATCGAGGGAAGAGGGGTGATTCGGTAAAGAAGAAGACGTGAAAGAGGAGAGAGAGAAAGAGACACACAAATGAGAGATTTAATCGGTGGAATTAAGGAGAAAGATGATTAATTATGATTTATTAATATATTATGTGAATAATATATTAAAAGAGAAAT